TTAAAAAAATTTTCCATTTAGTAAAGTATTTAAACATTGTTTAAAGCATTATTTGTTTTAAAATAAACTTTAACCAAAAAACATTTTTCACCATTAGAAAAGACTTAGTTATAAAATATTAGTTACCACCCCTTACTTTTCCTTCTTCTTCTGTCTGTGTTTTCATAAATGATCGAGTCATCGACTCAAGATAAAGTCATTAAAATTCATTTAACTTTATTTCAAACTTCATTTCAAGCAGCGCTACACGCTTTAAATTTAAATATTTTTGAATTACATTTTAAACTTGAATTAGAAATAATATCTTTCTTTTATTTCCTTTCTCTCATAAATCATCTGCTCAGAAAAGCTTGTGAAACATACTATTAAATTTTCTTTAAAACATTTCTTTAGATAGCGCTATCCACTTTGTATGCATAATTTAATATTTCGATGATGCACGTAAGCGTTCACTTATTTTAACATATTGTTTATTTAAAAAGACTTTATTTATAGATTACCAAAACTAAACTTTATTTTAATAGATTACCAAAACGAAATTGCCTACGAGTGGCGATCGCAATAATACAAAAAAAGGAAAAAGAAGTTAACCAAAAAAAGTAAGCACAACATCAGTCCATGCCTTCAACTGTCAAAACAGATAAAGGCTTGGATTCAATGTTATGACTTGCTAATTTTGATCCACCCTTTATTGATAAGCGTATAAACATTCCGCCGACGTTGAAAGATTCGTCTTTCAAGGATTACATAGAATAGCAAGTTTTTGAACTGAGCGACGAACTATTCCCTTTTTTGTCTAGATATCGACAACACGATTTTTACCATCCTTACCCTGGATGGTTTTTGTTACGCGACCTGTGACCCATACCATTGTGGGCATGTTGTCCTTCATGAATTAAAACAAGTGTCCCAGTCTGTAAATTGTTGCTGACTTTAGTCCATCGATTGCGCTGAATCAGTTCGTTGAGATATTCGTTCGACCACCTGCTTCAAAATTGTTGTTTCACTGCACTAATACGTCGCCATCGTTCGAGGTGTGACACTTCTACATTTTGCGTAATGTTTGATTCACTGATGCAGTTCAGAGGACACCCAATCAAAAAATTACCTGGTGTCAAAGCTTCGAGGTCATTCGCATCCCACGAAACAGGTGAAATCGGTCTGGAATTCAAGATTGCTTCGATTTCTATGAGAGCGGTAGTAAGCTTTTTATATGTTAACTTGCTGTTCACCAACGAACGATACAGGTGACTCTTTGCAGACTTTACGGCAGCCTCCCAGATACCTCCAAAATGCGGTGCTCTAGGTGGAATAAAGTTAAAGGATATTGATTTATTTGAACAAAAATTAATGACATGATTTTTATACGCTTTGCTAGTAAAGCTTTGTTTGAGTTCAACCAGTTTTATATTGACCCCTACAAAATTTGTAGCGTTATCACAATAAATTTCTGCAGGTAGTCCTTTGCGACCAATGAATCTTTTCAACGCTGGAATAAAAGTATTCGATGACAGATCTGTTATTGCTTCAATATTAATGGCTTTAGTAGTGAAACACACGATAATTTCTATATAACATTTATAGTGCTGTTTTACTCGAATTTTTAAATAAGTAGAAATAGGCCCACAGAAGTCAATTCCGCATTTTTCAAATGGTTTGCCCGGCGTCACACGGGACGCAAGCAAATCTCCCATTATCTGGCTTAACAATTTTGGTTTATAACGTATGCAGCTGATACAATTATGTACGATTTTTCTGGCATTAACGATCCAATATCGTTGTCGTAAAATCGCCATTAATGCCTTAGAACCAGCATGATAATTTTCAATATGATGATGCCTAGCCAAAGTCTCAACGAAATGACAATGTCTTGGTAGTAAAAAGGAATGTTTTGTTTCTTCTGAAATACTCGTATGCATAAGGTGTCCACCAACTCGGAGCAATGGAAATCCATTCACTTCTTGCATAAAGAGACTAAAAGTTTTCAACGAAATATTAATTTCCACGTTGTTATTTATACAATGAATTTCATTAGAGAAATGTTCGCTTTGAATGATCCAGATGATGCAATGTAAAGAACATTGTAACTCATCACTAGTGAAATTATGTTGATGACCAGGACCTTTCTGCTTAACTCGGCTACTCACACGAAGCAACCAACCAACAATACGAAATACCTTAAGATATGAGCTGGTCCGATCGATGATTGTAGCACCTGATTTGTGGATGTTTCACATATCATAACTGTTTTCCGAATTGCACCATCTATTTCTCGTTTACATTGAGTGCTACTTATACATGAGTCTGGCCTGATTGGGCTACACTGGTGGACTACGAAGCAATGTTAATAAATTTCTTAGTTACCTGGTTGTATATTACCTTTGGTTCTGCCAAGTGTTCTGCTCCGAGGCCTGTGATCAAGTGTCTTTCTGTTGATTAACTTTTCCTTTTATATAAATCTTGGGAAACGGGACTTCTAACTACTGAGTGCACATTGTGCAGCTTTCTTCTAAGTTGTTATTGCCTATTTTAAATGCCTGCGGCTGGTATGATTACTGTTGTTGTTTGCTGCACATTTATTAAAAATTTGGCAAAATTATTACACTCAAACCAAAAGAAGTGTTATCACTTAATTTATATTTTAATAACTTAATACTATTGATATTTTATGCTAACTTAATAATACCTTAATTTTAAACTTATTAATACCTTAATTTTATCAATACCTTATACTAACATTTTGTTTTGCGTTTACTTTAACTAATAATAAACAATTTCTTTTCAACTAAAAATAGCTTAATTCTATTGTTGTCTTATTATATTTTTTTATTGTTTTTTTTTTTGTTGTACTAGTTTTACATTAATATTAATAACTATGCATAGTGCATTGCGATTTTTGTGACGAGATGGTAAAAGTCGTCACACTCCCTCCCTTCATTGGAAAGGAAGAACGACCCGAATGGCACCAGAATTTGCTATTAGCAGCTTATGCTTCGTTGCTTCACATTGCACAAAAAATGTATGGCGACGACCTTGCTTTAGCTTTTGAGCGTCCTTTTTTATCTTCTCCCAAAGTTCCGCGTGTGGTGACTCTGGGGCTAGCGGTGAAATTGGTCGCTGCTGGCATATTTCTTTGAGGTCTTTCATAAGGTCTTCAGCGGCTGTCATATGTAAGAAGTCGGTGTCGTTGTTGTGTTTGGTTGACTTGTTAACCACTTGCTGTTTGGATTCTGCTTACCTTTTATACCTCGGTTTTACTGGAATTGGCTCTTTTAAAAATTGGGTCCTAGGTATGGCTCGTTCAATTGTTTCAAGACGGTTTCGGTATTTTTGAATAATGGTGGTGAGCTTTCTATTCTGTTCGAGATGATTGACTACTATTTTACTTGGTTTCAGAGTAGTGTACTCTATTGGACAATTGCTGATCGGCTGTTTGATTTTCATCTTGCTCCGTCACTTTATAATGTTCAACTAAATCCTAGTATAATTGTTTTCGTATTTTATAGGAATTTTTCTTATGTAGATCCCGTTACTCCTGCTGCGGTACATTCAGCATTTTGAATTATTCGTGGTAATATGTTTTTAGTTCGCTAATATGAGCTCTACTCTCTTTATGTGTTTGCATATGCTTGACTTTGATAATGACTGGCGATATATAATTGACCACCTGATAGGGTCCTGAGAACTTAGGCGCCAGTTTTGCAGCAAAATGAGCCTGAGCGTTGGATAGAGGATGCGTTTTAATTAAAACCATATCGCCAATCTGTGGTTTCCATGCCCTATGTCGTAAATTATAGTGCTTGGCTTGGTCTTGGGAAGCTGACTGTAGGTTAAGTTTCACAATTTGTTGTATTTCTTGCATTTCGTGTGGCTTGGTTTCTGGAGGTATCGGTGCGCAGTTTGTTCCAAGTGTGGTTTCATCGAAAAGTGCACTTGGGAGTCTGGGGGTTCTTCCGTATATAATATAAGCTGGACTATAACCCGTAGATGTGGATACACTGGAATTGAGTGGTAACATTATTTCAGGTAGATGCTCGTCCCATTTACGCTGTTCCTGTTCTGACACTTGTGTAATTATTGTTTTTAACGTTCGATTGGTGGGTTCAACCGGATTCTCTTGGGGAGTGTATGGTGCTGTAAATTGGTGACGAATTCCAAGGACTTCGAGAAACTGCTTCAATGCTCTACTATTGAACTGTGATCCATTATCTGTGAGTAGAACCTTTGGGACTGCAACTCTAGCTAATATATTTTTCCGTAATGCCTTCTTCACTCCATTTGTTGTAGCATATTTGAGAGGGATAACTTTGGTCCATTTGCTGAACTTGTTCAAGAGGATCAATGCTACCGTGTTTCCTTTGTATGATCGAATACTGCCCACGGTTTATTTGGTATTTTCGTTAACATAGACTTATTTTATACCACTGACATGAGCCTTATATCCCGAAAAATTCCAGGCCAACAATACTTTGATATCACCCGAAGAATAGCTTTTCTAATCCCAACATGTCCAGCAGTTGGTTTATCGTGGCATTCCCCTATCACTCGTTGTCGCACTTCTGTCGGAACACAATGTTTCCAAACAGGAGAATCATTGTCTCGGTTGCTGCATAATATTCGCTGGTATAAATTGTCATTCTCGATGATGTAGTCTGGGTGTTTTTCTGGATATTCTTGCACTTCGTTTATCCGTCTTTGCAACCAGATACACGAGGTAGGGTTTGTGTCTTGTGCGAACAATGGTAACGGCTGATGTGATAGGGCATCCGCAATTATATTTTGTTTGTCTTTCCGATATTCTATGTCGAATGTATATTGCTGGAGCTCCAGAGTCCATCGAGCGATGCGTCCAGAGGAGTTAATAATTGAGTTCAGACATTTTAGAGCGAGATGGTCCGTAATCATTTTTAATCGGTAACCTTTTAGATATTGACGCATCTTTGTTACTCTCCAAATGATTGCGAGGCATTCAGTAATGGTGTAATTTTTCTCTGCCTTGTTTAATGACCTACTGACATAAGCAATGACTTTCTCTTCCCCTTGGATAATTTGCGTAAGTACAGCCCCCAATCCATTATCACTGGCGTCTGTTTAAAGGTAAAACGCTCAGTAAAATCTGGGCATGTAAGAACCGGAGCAGTAGTTAATTTTTGCTTCAGAGCGTCAAATGCCTCCTGTTGTTCTATCGACCAGATCCATTTTTTTCCCTTTTTTAGCAGTGCTGTCATGGGTTGGATCGTATTTAAAAATTCCGGCACGAATCTTCGATACCATGACGCTATTTCTAGATATCGTCGTAGTTCTTTCAAATTTGTGGGAGGTGCTAATTCCTTTATGGCCGCTATTTTATCTGGGTCGGTGTGGATTCCTTGATTGCTTACAACGTGCCCAAGATATTTGATTTCGTCCATAAAGAATTTGCATTTAGGGATGTTGATTTTAAGCCGTGCCTCTCGCAAACGTCTCAATACTTCTTGTAGATGGCCGTTGAAAGGTGGCAGGTGCTGAGTGTAGGCCAAACGGCATAGCACGCCATTGAAACAGCCCTCTTCCAGGTACAGTAAATGCTGTAAACTTTTTGCTGACTTCGTCCATTGGTATTTGCCAATACCCATTGTTTAAGTCCAGACTGCTAATGTACTTTGCTTCTCGTAGCTGGTCGAGTATATGTTGTATTCGCGGCAGTGGGTATGCATCTGGAATGAAATAGGCATTGAATAGTCCATTATTTTTCTTTTTGACGAGTACTACTGGAGCGCTGTATGGACTGTACGATCGTTCTATACATCCTTTTTCTGGTAGTTCGTTCACTTCTTGATTTAGAATTTTTTGCATTGCTGGATTTCTTGGATGATATCTTTGCTTAATTGATGTATCATTTTTCACTGTTATCTTATGCGTTGTAACCTTATAATTTATGCGTGACCTTATAATTTATATTTTTAGAAGGATTACATTTTTATTTTTTTATAATTTTTATTAAATTAATAATAACTTAATAGTATTGATATTTTATACTAACTTAATAATACCTTAATTTTAAACTTATTAATACCTTAATTTTATTAATACCTTATACTTACATTTTGTTTTGTATATTAGCTAATAATAAACAATTTCAAATATATATATATACATATATATATATATATATATATATATATATATATATATATATATATATTACAACAATAATAAAACCATAATATAATGTAATTTTAACTTATTATAATTAAAGTATAAGATTATAATGAAAAGTTATTAATATAGTTTCGCGTCTTTTATGGCTTCTTTATCCGTCGTTTTCCGATAAGCAAGCACGTCTTCTTTCTTGCTTGTTCCGCACACAACTCGCAACTGCCTATTTGATGTAGATCAGCTGTTAACTTAAAAGTAAGGGCAGACTGCATTTTCGTTATTCTTATCCCACATTCGGCCAATCCTGATAGACATTCGTCTCGAATGACTCCGTTTCGCTATCATCTTCTTCGTATGTGCTCCAAGGTTTCATATATTCGGAGCAAGTGGTTGTGTTCTTCGGTCCTTCGTTTATACCAATCTTGGTTACATCGTAAGTATCGTTAGGCTTTGTATTTATTACCTCGTATGGACCTAAGTATTTTGGCTTTAGTTTGAGACCTGTGCCAAATTGAGTCCGTTTGATTGCTACCATATCGCCTTTTCTGTATTTGACGGCTGGTTTACGTCGAGAGTTAAAATTTTTACGGTTTTCTGCTTGCACTTTCAGGATTTGCGCCTTAGCTGCTACTCTTAGCTCTGTTCGTTCATTTTCGAAAGCAGATACAATTTCTTTATCGAGTAACTCTTTAATTCTGATGTCTTCGATGGTACGCATTTGTACTCCAAACATTAGCTGAAACGGCGTTGTGTTGATACTTCGACAAAATGTTGAGTTTATCACTTGTTGGACATGATCTACGTGCCGGTACCACTTACTTGGATCGTCAGAGCATAGCTTTGAAATTACTGCTATTATGATACTATTTAAACGCTCGACTTGACCATTTACTCTTGGTAAGCCAGTAACACCTAAAACATGCTGTATATTTTGTTGTTCACAGTATTGACGAAATTCTCCGGAACTGTATGCTGGGCCTCTGTCGGAAATAATGCGATAAGGATTTCCAAATGTCGTACTTTGAAGCTTGAGTTTTTGCATAACTTCTTGAGTTGTTGTTGACTTCGTCGGATATAGCCAACAGAATTTCGTGAATGCGTCGATGACTGCAAAAATGTGTTTATACTGCTTACTGGTACCTTCAAGTGGACCAAGGTGATCAACGTGGTAGGTGTGAAGTGGGGTTTCTTCTTTTGGAAGCGGATGTAACAATCCATCCTGCTTGCCACGTTTACGATTGACAATGATGCATTGAATACAATTTGAGATGTGATTCTGTATTTTTTCTTCAAGTTTTAGAATGTAGTAATCTTTTTCAATTATTTCTTTGGTTTTGCGCACAGCAAAATGACCTCGTTCATGTGCTTTTCTGATTATTTCTCGCTGCATATTCCTTGGGATCACAAGAAGTTCGTCGTTATTAATTATCTTGAATAACACGTCTCGTTTCAAGAAAAAGTTTTTATACGTCATTTCCTTTTCGAGCATTTCTCGAATTATATTTAACTCTTCGTCTTGCATTTGGCATTTTTGCACCCTTCTTAGTAAATCATCTTCTATGGATAAAACAGCATATCGGCTAAGAACGTCTACATGTTTCATACGCGACCCGCTTCGATGTTCAACTTCGTAATCATATTCTTGTAATAGGAGCACCCATCGAGCGACTCGTGTACAATGATCTCTTTTTTCAAGCGTTTTAGTGAAAGAGTTACAGTCCGTAACAATTTTAAAATGTATGCCTAGTAAGTATACACGAAATTTCTTAATTGCTTCAATAACAGCTAGAATTTCAAGCTCGTAACTGGAGTATTTTCGTTCGGCATCTGTAGTCTTTTTACTCATGATGGTGAGATCATTTGATTTTCGATCACATGACCCAGAAATTCAACTCGTTTCTTTAGAAAGTGACATTTTTTGAAGTTTATTTCAAGCCCGTAGTCTTTGCATATATTAAAAACCATTTCAAGATTATTATATGCTTCTTCTTCATTGCTTGCTGGAATGATAATGTCGTCTATGTAAGGTAAAGCCATGCCTCGTCGTACCAAGTCTCTAAAAATAGCATTTACATGTCGTTGAAAAACGCCAGGTGAATTTGATAATCCAAAAGGAACTTTCAGAAATTGATACTGTCCATTATGGGTTACGAATAAAGTGTACTTTTGACTTGATTCCGCAATGTCAACGTGGAAAAATCCACGATCTTCAAATTCGTTAACCCATTCTTCGATTGGAATACCGTCTTCTTTTCCAGTAAATATTTTAATTGTGTCTTCAATGTCTTTGAAATTCATTGAAAAGCGCGACACAGTAGGTTCGTCGTCATGAAATTTTTTACGTTGCATTTCGTTACTATTTACTCATTCTGTTGTATGTGTTGTCGCTATCAGTGCCTCTTGTATAGTTGTATTTGATTCTATGCTTTTCTCGTCTTCTTCCATTTCGTCTTGTTCGTCGCTCTCGTCCTCCTCGTCGCTATCGTCTCTTTCATTTAGTAAATGTATTCTGCTTTTATGCAAACTTAAAAAAATATGCTGTTGCAAATTGTCAACTTTAAACTGCAAAGATAACAAACTACAAATGGCAACTAATTCGTCTCGCGTTAGAAATTTTTCAATGTAGGCAAGCTTTTCGATATATCTTTTATCACTTTCACCGTATTCGAAGCCCGAAAATTCCCGAAGCCGTTGCCGGTTGCCTCTGTCGCCTGCATCTTCAAACACAAACTTATGCAGTGCTCTTATTATTTCAGCTCTGCTTGTTTTTAAGTTCTTGGAAATTTTAGTAAAATTGTTTAAGCAAGCCATTTCAGGAATTTCACAATTCACTATTTTGCTCTTGAATTCAAAAAGTTGAGTTGAGCCCCCAAAATGTGGTATTATTACTGTAGTAATATTATAGTTTTATTATTGTTGTAATTTTAACTTATTATAATTAAAGTATAAGATTATAATGAAAAGTTATTAATATAGTTTCGCGTCTTTTATGGCTTCTTTATCCGTCGTTTTCCGATAAGCAAGCACGTCTTCTTTCTTGCTTGTTCCGCACACAACTCGCAACTGCCTATTTGATGTAGATCAGCTGTTAACTTAAAAGTAAGGGCAGAGTTGCATTTTCGTTATTCTTATCCCAAATATATATATATATGTTTTTTATATGTTTTTTGCTTGTGAAGCTACAACGTTGCCATCGTGCTTTCCATGTCTTAATAATGTGGCACCCACAGATAATTATTAAGACATAGAAAGCACGATGGCAACGTGGTAGCTTCACAAGCAAAAAACATATAAAAGCAGAACACAAGTAAACATCACTCCTTTTTGCATTCGAGCCGTCAGCGAACAAGGACACAAGAAGTTATAGTGGAACAAGTAAACCACAATTGGTGGTTTAAACAGAAAACAAAAACGTATAAGTCGTTTTCACGACTAAATAATTAAAGAGATACCAAAAAAAAACAAAATACATATTGCACACATAATTTTTTCATCGGAATTGTTGGCGAATATGAGCATGAAAGAAGTCAGTCAAGAAATAAACAGCCCCAATTTGGCAGGTACATCAGCTCCCCGTCAAGCCGAACAGGGACACAGCGTAGAAGCGATAGGCGTGGTCAAATTACCACCTTTCCTTCACTCTAGTCCCGAATTAAGGTTCACGCAAATCGATGGGTTACTGCCAATGTCAATAGAATAACATCAGATGTCTCCAAATACTACACAGTCATTACGGCAATCGACGCAAATACATTCAGCCAGGTAGCAGACATCGCAAAGAAGCCTCCAGTTTCCGACAAATACGCAACATTAAAAGATGAATTGATCCGACGCTTTGGTAAGTCAAAGCAAAAAGAACTCATTAAATTGTTATGCTATTTGGTCTCAAAAACGCGACACAAACGTTTCAAAGACATATGGATTCCTTATTCAGAAATATTCCTTTTGTTTTCTGTTATCTCGATGACATATTGGTTTTTTCTCGAAACATGCCAGAACATGAAAAACACGTAGAAATTGTGCTAAATAAGCTACAGGAAGCACATCTTGGCGTAAATATTGCTAAATGCGAGTTCGGTGTTGATGAATTGCAGTTCTTGGGTTATTATTTGTCAGCAAGTGGCATGAATCCCCCAGCAGAGCGTGTAGAAACCATTCAAAATTATGTCCGACCCAAGACAATACATGAAATTCGTTAATTTCTTGGAGTTGTCAATTATTATCGTAAGTACATTCCTCGAGCGGCACAGCTACAAGCACCCCTAAGCAGCCTACTGAGAAAATCCAAGAAGAGAGATAAAACAGAAATAGTCTGGACAGCAGATCTAAACACATCATTTGAAAACTGTAAGGCAGGCATATCAACATTAACTCTGCTAGTATTCTTATCACCAACAGCACCTCTTCGTCTTTCAACCGATGCTTCCAGCACCGCAATAGGATCAGTTCTGGAGCAGCGAGTCAATAACCAGTGGAA